AACAGGTATCAAGAGAATGTAAGATTTGTAAATGAAATTTCAATGAAAATATTAGTTGTCTCAACAAAAACATGGCACAACGAAGAATCAGTGGGAACATTTTTGACGAGCAAAATTTAAATTTTTTTATCTTCCATGCTGAGATTGGACAGGTTCATAAAGGCCGAGGTGTTGAAATTTAGAATCCACTCTAAATCAAAATGCAGATTCATAGAGATCTCGTGAAACCTGACAGAAGGTTTTTTGAGTCTTTACGAAATAAAATTGTGTCATCAATCAGGAGAAAAAAAATTAATTAGGGCTTCATACTGCTCAAGAAGCAACCTCTTTTCGTAAGTTTTTGACAATTAAGATAGTGAGAACTTTTAAGCGATTGCTTCAAAAAGTGAATTTTTTTTCTGACTTAAATACAAATTTGTTTAAATAGGATAAGTTTTCTAAATTTTTTTATGTTGCTGCCAACTGTAGCTTAACTATATCAAATGATTCAAGGCCATCGTATGTAACGGACAATAATATTTCAATTATCGACCATTGTTGAGTTTCAAAACCAGCCCTAGTTAAAAAAAATTTGACTCTAAACACAATTCATTATATGTTTTTTGACTTTTGGTTTCTTGCCAGCCAAAAAACGATAGCCTTTTAATTAAGAGAAAAATTCCATGAAATTAGGCCAGGGAGTTTTAACTTAGACCTTGCACTTTATGAAAGGTCAGAAAATTATGTTAAAATCTTCAGAATCAGAATTTGTTTGCAAGTTTTGGGTATTGTTGTTGAAAAGATTATAATAGCGCATGCTCCATATTGCATAAAAACTATGAATCAGAACTTTGCAACCCTTTAAAAAACCATTGATTGATAAAATTGATGAAAAACATAATTCATCCTTATATGGGGAATTTTTTTTTTGAGATAATACACAGAGAAACAGAGTCCATCGTGATTTGGCACTTGCTCCACAAATTTCTTACAATGATTTTTTAGCGGTTTTTCTAACAGTAAAGAACAATAGGATCAAATGAAAAAAACTAAGGAAAAAGAGTAATAAAAAGCATTTATCATTAGACAAATGAATTTGGAAAATGGTAAAAAAACAAATGATTCTTGTGAAATAGCAAATAAATAAATTGAATCAAGTCTTTTCAAAGTCAAAGTCCGAAGAAAAACTACAACTGCATTGTTCGTCATTCGTTGCATCACAAACAAAAAAAATTTCTGATAAAAAAATTACCTCTAACTACATTACCACGACCTATGGGAATACAAGTTTTTTGCCTCCAACGGTATTTTTGCTATCGGAACCTACCTACAATTCGCAATAGATAAAAATATAAAGCAAAACCAGTTTCGATCATTCACTAGAGAAGCATATGAAACAACGCTTACAAAAAATCTAAGTGCATCAAATTAAAGACCAAAACACGGAATAGTCTCGGATCATCTCGGAAAAAAATCTTGTTCGAAGTTCGGATTTCAGGAAAAAAATATATGCAGTTACTATTTTTACCTAAATGGTTTGTAAAAACAAGAATCATTCAAAAGCTAGTGCACTTGCTTAGATTTTGTTATAGCTTTCAGTTCCGTTTTTTTTGTGAAACTTTCTTGAAACAAATTGAAACGTATGGTTTTTTCGTTGAAGTATCAAAAATCAGGACGGATTTGTTAGGAGACTATCAGCAATGTGAAAAACAATTTTAGTGTCTGGAAAAATTTTAATCATGGCCTTCCACATGATGAAGTTTCAAAAGCATTGGTTTCATTCTTTATGTGAATGACATAAATATATATATATATATATATGAAGCACCGATAGAGCCGTACTTTTTGTTCTTAGGAAAGCAAGCAAAATTGATCAATCGTCGAAACTGAAAATCGTCTGTCGTTTTATATACATACATACATACATATACATACACTTTGAGGAATAATTTGGTTAATTGCTTGTTGAAATCAAACAGTTGCAACTTCTGCATACCGTGGCTGCAGATGAAACTATTCGGAGGAACTAGTTGGATCAAACTTTTATCATTTCTGTTGTACGTGAGTAAAAAAGCCAGTTTAATCAAGCTAGCTCCAATGTTATTATTGCTGAGGATTCATCTTGCCAAAAATCACAATTAACTTGAATGTACATGCTAAAAGTAGTCCGTCGCGGATGGACTTGACTTAGTCTTTATGCCGCGAGAAAACCATAAACAAATATATTGAAAGAGTCACTTGGTCCAATGTCACTAAACTGTCATGTTGTATCTATATTAAAAGATCTATGTCGCACCGACATGGATCTTTTCAAAAAATATAAAAAGGTTTTTTAAAAGATCTATGTCGCAGCGCCGCTAAACTGTCGTATTGTATCTACATTAAAAAATCTATGTCGCTTATACCAAAAAGTTGATTCCTGTGCATAGATCTGATCACCAAAAAGTATCTATTTCAGTTTTTTTTGTTTGTCTCTTTTCCGCTTTGAGCTCATATATCCAATTTGAGCTAATAATTTCCAAATACTTTTTTTATTATTGCAAAGATGTTTCCAGAACAAATCCGAAACTAGCTTCGACATATTGGCTTTTTGACACCTTCAAAACAAAGTTTTTTTTAATTTTGATCCAACTAGAAATTTGATCAAACTAGATCAATTGAATTTTGATCAAAACTTTTTGAATTTTAATCAAACTAGAACTGATCAAACGTTTACTGTAGATTACTGTAATCTTTTCCAGTTAAATTTTAAACAATTACGAATAAAATCATAACTTTAACGAAAATCCAGTGAATATTGCGTACATCTAAAAAACGTATCTCAAAATTTATTAAATAGTCTACTAAATTTTTGTAGTCGTATTAAACACTCCAATCTTTTCGGTATCATCAAAACATCTGAGAAAAACAGGGGAAAAATAATAACCTCCTCCAAATTGCAGTTGTGTGAGATCGCTGAAAAGCATTAGTTAAAAAGTTACTAACATTATGAAAAAACGGTACAATGGCTTGAAACAACCTATCAAATCACTTGCCTGAACGTCTCTTTTATCTACAGTCGTCTGAAAAAAGCCCCTCAAGGTTGTGGTATGAACAACTTTCTGGGAACAACCCAACACTTTCAAATAATTTGATTAAAGTATCATTCACTGCCTGCTTTTCTGCAGACTTTCAAAAATCAGAGGTAATTAAGTGATTATTTGTTTCCTTGGAGAACTATTCTGCTAAAACTTGTCCGACTCCGACGCCTATTCGTCGACGTCCTATCGTCCGAACTATTTTTTTTTTGAATTTGAGGCTCTTTTTATTCAGCATCCAGTCATCTAACTTATGTAAAAACAATAAATTACCTTTCAAAATTGAAGTTGCAAACCAAAGAAAAGTATTTCTTTACAGAATTAGTTTAAACGGTATTTTTATAGATTGTATTTTAATGGTCATGATGAACTTAGTCAAATAATAATGATGAAATCAAATGTTTTTCTTTCTGATAAAAAATTTTTCAAAACGTATCGGCATTTTCTGTTTATATGCATACCAAAGAAAACCAATTGCTCCAAATAAAAAAATTTTACATCAATTCAGGCGACATGAAATTATTGTTGATTTTGATTTCCTGTATTTTTGACAAGTTACCAGTTGCATCATTTCGAAGAATTAAATTCATAACAAAAATTTAGCGCTTCGAGCCGTAAAAATTTGCCAGTTAGTTAAAAATGTTTTTAGTGAAGCCAAAGTGAACGGGATCGAATATACTCAATTCCCTATCAACTCGTTTCAGTTAACATTTCGAGACGTGAACTTTGACGCAAGTAAAAGTCAAAGCAGACCGTGCGTTCGAATCTGCCCTCTAAATTGAGTTATCTGTAAAATCAGAAAGTTAGCGGTTGAAGCAATTTTTAATTTCTCTACATTAAACTAATCTGTCCAGAAAAAAAATCAAACTTAATCCGAGCTTAATGTAACAATTATTTTTGCACGTTTCTAACCCTCTTAATTTTACAAATAAGCACAGGTGTAAAATAGTCACAATTGGCCTCAATAGATTGATAAATTTCTTATTTTAAACACCAATGCGAAGTTCAGCTTCGCAAACACTAGCAAGAAAAATACAAAAAAGCAGAAAACGACAAAAAAGCTAAATAAAAGAAATAGGCCTAGAAATGTTACTATGTATCAAATTCGAACCTAAGCCCTCAAGATTTAGTCTTGCGTCTATCTTCTCAGCTACGGACGCTTAACTCTCAGCAAACAGTTGTCACAAATGAAGCAGATAATAGATGTTAAGGATATCCAAGACTACATGTCGTGATTATAGCATAAGTTCCACAAAATGAGCAATCTTATTTGCGAGTTAGATTGGAAAAAGTAGAGTAATAGTGATACACAAAGCTCTTTAGTGTAAATAACGATAAAGACTAGTTAGAATGTGGAAACTTAACTGAAAAAAAAAAGAAAACAGAACCCTGAATGTCCGCCGGCCTTTAACTGGTCTCGAATAATTTACGGCAAAAAAATGTCAAACTGAACATTTTGAACCTGATAAATTTTCTCTACAGCAAAATATGTAAAATTGAGATACATGCAGGGAAAAATATTAACCTTTAAAGTTTCCTCACATCTTTTGATTTTGAGTGCGGCATAAATCTCCACGCTTCAAAATTTTGCACTTAGGTTTTGATTATCAAACTTATATTCTGATAAAGGCAATAAATTGTCCAGAACATGACCAAACTGGCAGAATTAAGTTAATCAAAATCGGTCGCAAGTGCGTAAAATCTCAGGGAGACGATACCTTCATGGAGTACAAAAACTTTTCGTTTAATACTATCAATTCGATCGCCAAAATTTTTCTGAATAAAACAACCATCCGATACATAAAAATTTCTTCGTTCTTCGGAAGTAGAAACAGCATTTATTACAAGCACTTAATCAATTTTTCCTTCATCCCGAAAAATCCAAATTTGGCCTATGCTAGCTTTTACTTCTAAAAGACGAGACAACAAAACTAAACTGACAGTTAAAAAAAATTACGGTAATTATAATATAACGTTTTTGCTGAAAGTTTTTTCTCTCTACACTTTGAGTATTGTCACTTGGTCGTCTTTCGATTCCTCATCCACAATTTTCCTGAAATTAAACCATCAAATCTCTGATAATACACTTGAAAAAGTTCAAAAGAAGGATTAGTCGGGGTAAAATAATGCTTTTATGTACAATAAACTTAAAACTATTACGGTTAGATCACTTAAAAGTTGTTGCTTTCAGATCTGAAGAACGTAATCGAATCTCCTTGTCGACGCATCCTTAGCTTGCATTTTATTTGAAGTAATACTAAAGACGCATCTTTTGCTTGCATTTTATTTGAAGTAATACTAAAGACAAGCGCTTGAGAATAACTCCAACTTTAGATCTGTTTTGTTGTTCACTGCGTGAAATTGGAAAAAGTAGAGGTAAATTGGTTGTGCTCTTTGGTTGTGCTTCATAGAAACTAGTTCTAACTTTACGCAACGCGCAAAACAGAAAGCTCAACAGTGCTTAAAATTTCTAGAACCATCTTCGGCAAAAACCAATTGGAACTATAATCGATGAGAACATGGCCAACAGACTGATCGAAAAGTGCCAACGAACGCCAGGAAAGCAAAAAGGATGATTAAAATTTTCAAACAATTTAACTCGAATTTCGGGAGAAGAAAAATCGTGTAAAAGCTCTTTGAATTTCATGAATCTTTTATGATTGACACTTATATGAGTTTAAAAAAAAACGTTTTTTTTTCAAGTTTTCTGCGTTATTAAAACGTTCTTAATTGAAGAACGTAATGCACCTTCCATTTAGCAAATGAATTTTGACTTCTTCCTAAAAACCACAAAACCTAAATAAAATCTTTTTGTTCAATAACCTTAAAAACCCTATCAAGGATATTTTTCAAGCCCGAAATTAGGAAAAAGCATATGAGCATTATCGAAAAAATTATACAAACTTACCCAGTCAAAATTGTATCATCTCTCTCCCTCCGTCCCACAGTCAAGTATGCCATGTTCGCGAAGGCGGACAAGAATCCGAAAACAATCAACCCAGTGATCACTCTGATATTTCTCTTTCTGGCTTCTTTCGGGTCAAGTCTGAATTTGGGCGCATAGCCAGTGCGGAATTCAGGACGTCCGTCGTCTCTGTTAATCACGAAAGACCATTAAGTGCTTTGTAAAATACTATGCTTTGCTCTTCGCGAATTTTCGCCACATATTTTTTGTCAAATCTACTTATCACGCTGTAGTTAGTGGCCACCATGGTGGTCTGCAAAAAAAAATTGTATCATTTTTTTGTAAGACCACAAAAACTTTAGCTAAATTTTAAGCACTAAATGGAGCTTCCTTCTCACGAATTCGACACCCTCACATTTTTTAAACCTTTTTGCGCCCCCCTTACACACCTGCGAATTATTACACACCAGCGGATTTAGGGGAGGGGGGCTGGCGGACGCCCCCTTTAAGAATTCGAACCCCTGCCGACGCAAAGGGTCCCCCCTTTGTACTATTTTGAGATATCTATTTTCGGTGATGAACCCTAAAATTTTTCTAAAGGCGCCAATATATACTAATTTTTAGCGATAAAATGCAATATTTTGGTCAAAATTTTCCAAAAACTGCCTAAAAACGCCTTTTTTGGCCTGTCTTTTCCACATTTCTCCTGCGGCGCAGAAGCTTTGGTCAAATTGGGGTCATTATAGTGATTTAGGAGAGCTCAGAAAATCAATTTGGTCGACCTAAAAAGAAAAAAAGCCCCCGACAGTTTTTGAAACGATTGTTTAAAAAATTGATGTGCGAACTAATTAGGCCATGAAAAACAGTTTTGACTTCATACTTAATTTTTTTAACTGTTCGTAACACCATAAAATTGATGCTTAAAATTGATGCATTAAAATTGATAACACCATAAAATTGATGATTTGCTAATCCAAATTTCACTCGTTTAGTCTGTTACGTATATTTAGGATATGCAAACAACATTGCGAGAGTGTAGTCTACAAGAAGAGTGTACATCAACATACCTATACATTCTGCCTGTCACCCTGTCATAAACTAGACTGTCCTCTTTGAAATATCTATTCTTAGTTTCTCCCTCTTCCAGTATTGAGTCATACTCTCGCCTCAAAGAGGGCTCTCTTAGTGTCGAGTAGGCTTCGTTTAGCTTCTTGAACTGCTCTTGTGCGGTTGAGGTTTGGTTGCGATCTGGGTGCACCTTTAACATAGGAAAAGTGCAGCCAAGGAAACTCGGATCTCTTTACAACACCCCCCTGCCCCACCCATTATATCCCCCTCCCAATTCATTATATCAGAAACGATTAACTGTTACTGCGTTCAAAATTCAACTATGCTCAACAGTTGAATTAGTCCTTTATAGTGGCAAGGGGTAGAGATTATTTACCATTACGTACCATAAGGGCTACTTATTTAAAATAGTCTACAACTAGCGCACAATCGAAGTATATAGACTATATATCAAGAAGTATATAGCAGCATATTTCTGAAAATTAATCATAAGATCAAAGGTTTTCTTAGTGAAATTGGGAGAATAATTGCTAATAAAAGCATAGCCAACAGAAAAATGGAAAGGATTCAATTAACGCAAATGAACAGAAAAAATACTGACTTGTTTTAGAAAAAAAAATCTTTTTTTTTGTACATCGAGTTTTTTTTTAAACAAGTCAGTATTTTTTCTGTTCATTTGCGTTCATTGACTCCTTTCCATTTTTCTGTTGGCTATACTTTTATTAGCAATTATCCTCCCAGTTTCACAAAGAAAACCTTTGATCTTATGATTAATTTTCAGAAATATGCTGCTATATACTTCTTGATATATAGTCCATATTCTTCGATTGTGCGCTAGTTGTAGACTATTTTAAATAAGTAGCCCTTATGGTACGTTATGGTAAATAATCTCTACCCCTTGCCACTGTAAGGGACTAATTCAACTGTTGAGCATAGTTGAATTTTGAACGCAGTAACAGTTACTCGTTTCTGATATAATGAGTTGGGGGATATAATTGTAAATTGATTGCCTTAGAGCTCTTTGAGTTTTTAGAACAATTTATGATTGACAATTTTTTTGATAAAATTAACCCAATTTGAGAAAACTGGATCAACAAGCAAACCTTTTATTTCGCTGGAAAATCTGATCATTAAAATCCATTTTCGAATCTAGAAGCCAATCAAGTTTTTCTTGACCTTTACTTCGTTGTTATTCGATAGTGAAGTTTGCCTTCCTCTTAGCAAAGGAAATGGACTGAACTTTAAAAGAAATCAAAAGTCAAATCGCGAATAAGTAAATTTGAGCTTCAACAAACTTGAAGAGTTTTCCGGAAAAAAATGTAACAAAAATCATCACGACCTACATCAGAGTCTGAACTACGTTCAACGACTCTTTAAAAATTGATAAAATGAGGTTCATAAGTTCTAAAACATTTTTCAGATGTATGAGGCTGAAAAAATTTTCTTCGACAATAATTTTCTGAAAAAACCACAATCAACGTGTTTTAACACTCATGCGCTTCCTTGCAAACGCAATGCGTTCCATTTAACTTTGCAAAATGATTACGGTAGAATAAGATAGCTTCTTTCCAGGAAAAGCAAGTATGAAAGTTATCCCTAGATTTTTTTATGAACACTTCAAAAACATAAGCAAGCAAATACGAAGATTTCAAGCCCTAAAAACTTTGCTTGAGGAACCCATCTCAATTCCAGGGACCCAAATTTTATATTTGTTCTCTGATTACAAACTTTTTCAGCTGATATGTTGAAGAACGATACCCAATTAGGTAGCAACATTTCGACTTTAGAAAACCGATCAGTTTAACGATTTGGAACAATTATTTATCGGAACAGCTGTTACATGCTTCAAATAGGTGACCGCTCGTCTAGCATTAAGCTCGACTAGCATAACAGTTTGAAAACAAAAAACTCATCGACTAGAATAATTTTGCTAGCTTTATTTCTAAAAAAAAAAGATAAACCTTTCAAATTGAAACTTGCATTTCAGGGAAATGGAAAATTGAGATATTCAGCAACTAACAAGAAAACTAAATTTTCCTCCTCAAATAAATCTTAATCAGTCTCACCCCCGACCTGCAATGGTTTCAACCGAACACTTATTGCTACGCAAACTGTAAAGTGTGTGAAAAAACTGTGATTTATTGCTGTTTTAGTGTATAATGATTTTAATTTTGAAAATTTTTGAATTATAGGACTACTTAACAATCCTCTTTTCATGAAAAGGGATTGTTAAGCAGATCAAATTAATCGAATTTTCCACCAATAAGAATGCAGCTTTATGTCTAGAATTATAAGTATCAATACAAAGCTCTAGAGCTATTTTACTATTTTATTTAGGGAGTGGATAGTTTTAGTAGATACCTAGGAGGGAAAGATAGTAGCGAATTTTGTGTTCCGATTTTTATGCTAGTCGATACAATTTTCATCTTTAATATATTTACGCAAGTCGAGCTTTGTGCTAGTCGATACAATGCCTTCAAATACTAACTGTTTTACTCTTCTCTATAAAAGCTTTCCGAATTTCAGACTGAGTCGCGTTTTTCTCAACTCCAAGTAGTTCATAGAAATTGGGATCCCCTCCAAACAGTTTAGACCATGGTGAAGATCCAAGAGCTCTCTGCTGTCGGGACAGTAGTTGAAAGTTTTTACTGACTCTACATTTAAAGATTTTTGAAATGATCATCCTGTGTGTAATCTGGTTGACATTAAGTCTAAAATCAAACATAAAAGCAGCAGCTAATTTAACACAGAGGCGAAGCTGCAGCTTCGCAAACACAAGCGATCCGGTAGCTTTGAAATGCATAAAACAAAGTGTTAATCCAAAATTTGTGTAGATTATGCATTTAAAAAACTCGCGAAATACACTGAGTTGAAAAAACTTTGAAAAAGAGTTATTTATTGTATGAATCGAACGGATTTTTTCGAATGCAATTTTAGAATCAAAAAAGCATCCACACTGTGTTAACGCATTAAATCAAATGTCACATCACATGGTATTATACAGCCGATGCAGCCTATCGATTCAAAAGAAGCACTTTTATTAGCGACTTAGCTTGGACAAAAAAACTTGCAGCGTACAATCATGCAGCTTGTTAGATAATAAAAACTTCAGTCTTCTTTCATTTTCAAAATGTCTCTCGCTGTATGCATTTATATTTTAAAAAGACCAAAATGTGAGAAGTCTTTTTTGATGGCAATATTCGCAATCTTTGAAAGTTCACAACTACAGGGTTAGGAATTTCACATTAACGAATTATTTTGTTATTTGAGTTTTCTGAAAATTTCCAAAAAAAAATCACAAAAACCGTCTTTTCTCTTAAACAAAAAAGATTTGGGCATTTTTACTTGGAGATCGAATTTGCAACCCCTGAGATAACTCTGACAGCCCCCCCCCCCCCCCCCCCCCCCCAAACACAGGTTTGGAATGTCAAACTTTGAAAAAAAAATTAATTTCATTTTAATGAAATTTTTTCTGAAAAAATCACAAAAACGTCATATCTGGAAACTGCAAGATTTTGAGCAGTCCTATTTAGAGTATTCAGAGGCAAGATTCGCAACCCCCTGAGAGTACCCTCAAAGATTCCAACAACAGAATTGATATCTTCAAAGTTTTGGAACTTTTTAAAATTTGAGACAAAAATCCTAAAAAACGTCATATCTCGAAAACTGCACAAATTTGAGCAGCCATATTCAGAGGCAAGATTCGCAACCCCCTGAGATTACCCTCACGGATTCCAATAATAAGAATGAGATCTTCAGATTTTTGGAATTTTTTAAAATTTAGGTTTTTTTGAAAATTTCGGAGAAAATCATAAAAAACGTCATATCTCGAAAACTACAAGGATTTGAGCAGTCATATTTGGCGGCGAAATTTGCAACTCCTGAGAGTACCCTGACAGAGCCTCACTACAGAGATGGTAATTTCAAGTTTTGTTTAATTTTTTGTATCTAAGTTTTCTGAAAAATTTTGAAAAAAAAAAATCCATAAAAACGTCTTATCTCGATAACTACACGCATTTGAGCAGCCATAATCAAAGGCAAGATTCGCAACCCCTGAGAGTCCCCTGACAATATCCAACAACAGGGTTGAGATCTTCAACGTTTTGGAATTTTTTAAAATCTAATTTTTTGAAAACTTTTTGAAAAAATCATAAAAAACGTCATATCTCGAAAACTACAAGGATTTGAGAATTCGAGTTAAGACTCGCAATTTCTGATAGTACCTTGACAGCACCCAACTACAGGGCAAGAGTTTCAAAAATTGAGAAATTTTTTTTAAAATAAATTTTCTAAAAAATTTTTGAACAACCTGGAAAATTGCCTATATCGTAAGCTAAAATGATTTGGTTATTCATATATGGAGGCCAGAATCGCAAAACCTGGGAAAACTCTGACAATATCCTACTATTGGGTTGCTAATTTCAAACTTGACGGAATAAAGACTGAATTTAAACTGGAAAAATGAAAAAACCTTAACCATTGCAATATACGATATAGCTTAAACGTGAAAAAAAATCATTTGTTGAACATGCAAAAATAATACGTTGAAAAAGCTTAAACATGGCGAGATAGTGCAGCCCGCTTTTCAATATACAAAAACAGATAATAGATAGATAAGACATGAAAGTTTAAAAAATAGGCGACGGGTAGACAGACATAATCAAATTAATTAAAAAAGCAGGTATTTTTTTGGCCTCGAAAAAAAATACTGAAAAATTAATGACCTTGCGAAAAACTAATTGAAAAATTTTCTTAAGCATTGCAATATATGCTATAGCTTAAACATGCAAAAATTCTTTCGTTAAACATGCAAAATTATTATGCTTAAACATGGGAGATAGCTGTCACTCGCATTTAAATATAGTATAGATAGATATAGATAGATTATAATTCAGAAGGGTTATATTTAATTGAGTTATTTTGTGATATCAGGATGTTTACACCAACACTTCATCACTCTGTTTTGTCACAGAAGCATAGCGCCATTTTGGCCCTATCCATACTGAACATGTTAGTTCAAAAAGTAACATTTCAAAATCTATCAATTGTGCGCCATTTATATAATAAATACCAAATTTTAAATTCTAGAACAATATTGTCAGCACGTTTTTCTAAAAATCTCAGAGATCGTTCGTTTTTGATTTTACTTTATCATTTCTTCTGTTATACAGTGTTTTCACTCCTGGTCTCGATTCGGTAGAAGTATCTTTCGGCTTCCTGATATTAGCTGACAGTTTTTCCCTGTTTTCGCTTGCTACACGTTTACTTGCCTGGACAAACTTGCGGTATTGCTCATCGGCACCTGGTCCAGAAAAGCGTCTTACAGACCTAAAAAAATAACAAGAGACTAAATTAACTATTTTGATGCAAAATCCAGGTGTTGAAAGCCGTTTTGAATTAACATTCCGTGTGAGTAAACATATTAATTTGATAAAATTACAGCAGAATTTTGTTCCAAATCGAAGTTTTCAGTGGCTCAAAATTTGAGCTCAAACATAGAGCTACAGTGCTGATTTAAATTATCCGGACAAAACGAACAAAACTTGAATTTTCAAACGCGTTTTTCTCAAATTGGGTTAAGATTAGACAAAAAGTGAAGAAACCAAAGTTGCGTAGAATTTCACCAGAATTAATATGATGCCATTTTTTCTCCGAAATTCTTAATCAAAATTTTACCCCAAAAATGGGTCATTTTGGCTTTTTTCAATTAATAAAGAATTACGCTGAAACTACTTTGTTAATTGATAAGAATATTATATCATTAGAAGCCTCTTACGCAGCTCAACAAAGTTTAAGAAGGAATAAATTTGAGAAAAACGCGTTTGAAAATTCAAGTTTTGTTCGTTTAGTCCGGATAATTTAAATCAGCACTGTATTCCTATTTCTTGGTCAGAATTAACATTATGTTCGGTTTTCACGATCGTTTAAACTTCTACTAACGTATCTGGCACGAATTTGAATGACTCAAATTGAGCGACTTTCCACAAAGTATAAAATAAAGACACTGTGAGTCCGCCTAAAATCACTAGCATCGGAACCTCAACTTTGCTTCTTGCGTGTCTGGTCGCACTGGAAGTGTACGAAGGTTGGTCGCGATAATTTGTTCTGAATCCACCGCTTGATGTGCTGAAAATAAAAAAATATGTAGGTACATATAATTAAGACAGATACATATAATAACAGATACTTGGAAAGCAAAATCACTTTACACAGAAAAAAGTCAAACTGCACTTCAAGTTCTCACCGTAGAAAAAAATTACAAAAAATAAATCTTTTAAGATGAACAGGCAACAGAAGTGAACTTTTTGCTCCATTCGAATCACGATTAAATAAGCTTTGATATTATACTTCTGCATTTACGATACATTCCAGAATACTTCACGTTGGTTGTTTATATTGTGTGGAAAGAAAACATCCCAACCCGAAGTTCCTGCCCACTTTGTTGCCAGAACAACAACTTCACTGACCTTTCATTTTCATTTCTGCGTCTTTGATTCTTTCCTAAATCTCTGAACTGATAACTATACGGTGCCTGTGGATTATAAGCCCCATCGAAAGAACTACTCGATCCGCCTGCCGAATACACATTTGAACTCGGCGACCCTGAATTAGAGTGAGCATTATAGTTTCTGTTCCCGATCGACAAGTCGTACTGTCGTCTCGTGTCGTGTGATTTCAGAACCGAGAACGCCTCGTTTAGTTTGACGAAGTCGTCATGTGCTTTGTTTCCTGTGTTCCTGTCGGGATGTAACTATAGTTAAAACAGGTAGTTGAACTCGTTTTGTCCGAAGGCTTAGTAAAAATAGCGCTTGTTTACACCATTTTTCGTTAAAAAAGTCAATTTTATAGCGTAACTACCGGTTTATACTTACACATGATTACATATAACCCCTAAACAATAGCATGTCGATGGTGGGGGGGGGGGGGGGGCGATCACCTCTCCTCTTCTCAATTCTGGTTGCCAAATTTTTCCAAAGGGTCCCCCTTTCGTATAACTTTACGACATCCATTTTTGGCTGACGAACCGTAAAATTTTTCTAAAGGCGCATTTGGCGCCAATATAACTAATTTTGAGGGGCAGTGCACGCCGAAAAAACGCAATTTTTTGGCCTGCTTTTTGGAAAGTTTACCTGCGGCGCTGAAAGTTTATGGCAAAATAGGGTCCTTAAGTATTTTCGGAAAATCAAATAGGTCGACCTAAAAAAATGTCCGCAAAGACCAATGTCTAAAATTATTCCGTCGCACAACAACAGTTTAGTAATCGCGTTATTTTGATCACACTTCCCTTCAAATTATGCATTTCTAAGACAGACAACGGGGACCGACAAACAAGACGACAGCCAGTAAGACGACAACCGTTTTTGATGGAATTTTAAGATGATACTACACGCAATTCACCACTTTGTTTTTCCGAGAAATTTAAACTCGAACTGCTCCTTTTACATGTGATGTGGCTTATTTGTAGTCTTAATGTCTTGTCGACTCAATGGCCGGTCGTCTTATTTACCTAGCACCACACAATGCCCCTGTGGAATTTCTCGAATGATTTTTTTCATAAATGAAATAAAACGAAATAGGAGATATATTATAATAGGTGGCAGGTTCGTGTTAAATAGCTGGCTCGCTTTTTGTTATACTTCAAATAGTATTTATATATTTTTTCGAAAGCCAATTTTTTGGCAAATTTAGTGTAAATATTGAATTTTTGAATTATATTTCATCTGGCAGAGTAATGTATTTACAAAAACTATCTTAGTAGCATGTTCAATTTTTGAAAATGAAATTACTATATTATGCTTTTAAGTTCTCACCTGTTTGCTTAGTTTGAGAAATGCTTCTTTGATTTCAGCTGTCGATGCATCTTTATCAACTCTTAACATCTCATAATGATTTTTGGAGCTAAAACAATGAGGGAGCTAGAAAGTTTGGAGTTACAACCAATCATAATAATGTCGAACCCATTCAACAATATTCATTTTAATGGTACTTAGGGTACTAAGTGTAAGTAAAATAAAATATTATCCCTAAGAAAAAACTCAGCGATCAGCACACAAAAATTGACTACTCGTTTAGAAGTATGGTACCAAAAAACGCGCGATGGTCATATGTAAAAACCAAAAAAAAACAGTTATTAAAGGTGGTTTCGGAGTTTTTTCGAATTGTCGAGACCATAGAAAACATTTCGCCATTCGCCATCTATCGGGCTTTCTTTGACTAAATTCAATTCCTGCCATAGCAAAGTTACAAATAGGTAATTCAGAGGGCAATTGATTAACTATGCGATTGTCATATAGTATATCATTTTTGATATTACCAGGTTCTGCCACTGATTTGATATTTTTGACAATTCCTTTCTGACAAAAATTTAGTAAATCATCTAAAAGAAGTTTTTTTTTGTTTTCATCCACTTGAAGTACTTCAAGTAGATATCAAGTGGTTCGGCGGCACCACACTTCAAAACCAGCTTTTTGAATGAGACTCATCAAAAACAGCGGGACCATACTTCTAAACGAGTACCAAAAATTGTATCTAATAACAAATTTCTCAGTTTTATAATGGGATAGGAGCATAGTTAACACAGGGGTGAAGCGGCGCTTCGCAACACTTGCGATGCAAAAACTTATTTCGCTACAAGATAGGGATAGCGAATGAAAACAGACAGAAGTCAAATTAACTTGAAAAAAAGTTGAAAAATTACATCTACAAATAATTCACGTTTGTATTAGATGAAGTTCACTAAACAGACTTTAAAAAATGGAAATAAGCTACTGAGCGGCAACAAAGGCGAAAAACATTGGTTCGAAACCGGTTGAGCCGAAAACAAAAACAATTGTCATTAAAAAATCATAAAATTCAAAAGTTTTTACGACCCATCAAACTGAAACTCAAAATCTCATACGAATATATTTTTTCCTTCGAAATTACGCAATATAAAATGGATAAGGCGATATAACATGAATTGAAGGTGTTAAAATATATTTTAAAAAACGAAAAAAAACTCAAAATCAGACTTGGTAAATTCACAAATTTGTGAAACTTCAGTTATAGTAAAAACTGCTTACATTGGAACAAAACCCATGCTTTAGAAAGCAAGCCAATAAAAAACCTGCCAGCTGAAAAAAATGGCGTTTAAAAACAGAAACTATGACAAAAACTACCAACGCGACAAAAAATGAGATTTTTTTTCGAACATAATTACAACCTGAAACAGGCTTTAACTAATTACTACTTGTATGATAGAAGTTTTATTTGAATTCAAGAAATTGAGCATTTCAGAGATGAATGAGTCTTGAGGACAAAGTTGTTTACCGGAAAAAAAGCCTAGTACCCGATTGTAACACACTTGCATATCGCAAGGGTAAAAAGATCCACGGTGTCATCAGCATTGTTCTAGCGGAGGGTACTTCTTTTCTTACAAAATATATGATTTGCACCCTCAAAGCACACACATAAACAAAACTTTAATTTCTCGTCGAATGACACAAAATGAGGCCCTTGAGATGATAAAAAAGCCAAAATCCACTTATCTGGAAAAAAAGCAGAAAAAATGCTTTAAAATTAAAGACGAATAAAACATTATTACGTCCCCCTCACCCGCAAAACATACACACGAACATCAAATTTTGAGGCCAAATATGAGGCCACTAAGCCGATATAATATAGTCCGAAATCTATCAAGCCGACAAACGAGGAAAAGACAAAAATTGTAGTCATGAAAAACTGGAACTATAATTTCTATTAAGAATTTAGCCATTTTTGCATTCCAAAAGTGAGCATTAAAATTATGTCCGTTTCTATAGAATTGACTCAAAATTACGTCACTAAGCCAGAAACATAAAAGCCGAAATCAATAAGGCAAAAAAACGTTTAAGCGAAAAATATAAGTTAAGATTAGTTTAATTACAAACAGCAGAAGTAAAACAAAACACTAAAAGCAACTACAATGAAACTGAGTACAGCGGTAAAAAATTTTCTAAAATGTGGCAACTAAGGCGACAAAACATAAGCATACTAATAATAAGCCGACAATTTTTTTGAATCGGAATAGTTCCAGTTTGAAAAAATAACATGTCCTGTCAGATTCGAAACCAGGATCTTTGCCGTCCCAGGAGTATTCGTTACCTCCAGACCAAGTGTGCCAGAGAAGCAAATGAAAATTGTATTCGATATGAAATGAACCTAAATTTACCATTTCTAATTTTGACTATTCTGTGAACCAAGTTATTTAAGGGGGAAAAGTCTAGTACCCGATTGCAATACCCTTGATTATCGCAGGGGTAAAAACTTGGATTTCAAATTCGCCTGCTCAAAAACAACAAAGAGAGTGATCGCAATACATGACTCAACTAGAAATAGTTCAAACCAGGACCAGATCTAGGATTCCCACCCACCCACCCCCCAAATCCGACCCTGGTTCAACATTGAACAAGTTACCTTCTGTTGGCAAGTGATCGTACTGCAACTAGTCTGTTGACCTTCAGTCTTCCCCGACACAGGAGACAAACAGCATCCAGAGGTATCATTAAAATTATCATTTTAACATACCAAATATTACAGTAAATCTAGACAAAGTTCCAAACGCTAATGAGTAACTGCATGTACATTATCTAATCTGTAAATTAAAAAAATGGCTTGTAAATAAGAATGAAAAGAAAAACCTAGCATTTAAAAAAAATTTGACGAGGATAAGATATTTATGAAGATGTTTGCTGTAAAATGTATCGTAAATAATTTAAAGTCGAAGTTTATGCTAAGCATCGAGCTTCCACTGTGAATATGAATTTTTATTTTAAACCATAAGTTAGACTTATTACATTTTTAAATGCATATTAATAGCTTTTTTAAGAATTTTTTGACGAATTATATAATAAAACATAGAACCAATTAGCAAGCGTGATTTTAGCTTCCAGACTGATAAAAAGAAGCAAAACGCCTCTCTCTTTATTCGAGTTGCTATAATAATACATTGAAGTTTTATCACGAAACTAACATAATCGAGGCCTTAAATTTCTCGATACTAATTATTTCTGTAAGTAACAATATAGTTCCCAGTGGTCTTCAAAAACTTTAAAAAGTCACTTCATAACAATTTTTTTCTTTTTTTTGCAATGAAATACATTTCAGATATAAAATTTTGATTAATTTTTATAGGATATAACCAACCCAATGATGTATGTCCTTAATATATGTTGGAGTAATGTGTGCTGTGACAGCCCGGAAGGTGGCCTTATAGCTGCGCCATCTCGCTATATCTATCTCAAACTAGCCAACCAGGAGCCCAGATAAACCTGGAGGTACAAGTTGGAAAATTTTTAGAAGATTTACGGACGTGGAAAGTAAGGTGTAACTTTCACATAAGGTTAAAAAGAATATAGAAAAAAAACATCACACAACATCAACATTCGATTGATTTCTCGATCTCAGAACAGGCCTGGTCCTTTTAGGGGAAAATGAACGAAGTCCAAAAAACAGATGAAAATGTCAAACCTTGTATAATTTCCATGTTCATAGTGGATTTCATGCCAAAAATGAACAAACCAATTTATTCAGAGGTTATACCTATAACTTGTTTATTCCTTGCACCCTGTATCGCAGCCTTGGCAAGTTAGGTTACGAGAAAATCAAGTTTCCAAAATGGTCAAAACGTCGAAAAATGGACATTTTATGTCCGAAAAGCTTTTGCACAAAAACTAGGGCAAAACGCTTATGTAGAGAACATTTCTTTTAAGTTCTTTCAATTGAACCCTTAGTCTCAAATTTCGCAGGAAATCAAAATGAGTCAAAAATTCCTCCATTAAAACTTTTGAGGCCATAGATTGCATGGTAAGGTAAAATGTTTCGTATTATTTTGAAACCTTGTCTTATATCGTTAACTATAGAAATTGAGTAGTTACTTTCTGAGGTCAGACGTTTGAAAAATCAAAAAAAAATCTCGTTTGTAAAATTTTCAGCTTTTGAGGCTAGATTTGCAGATTCTGGGAAAAATCCGCCATAGGGATTCTAATGAAAAATGTTGTTGCTAAATAGTATAGATATAGTTAGATATTTAAACTGGAAACATCTAAGAATCGTACGATACATGTCGATATACGATGTAACTTAAATGTTCGAAATTACTTCAGTATCGGAAAAAAAAACTTAAGCGTGTAGTCATATGGATTTCTTTCGTTTAAAATTTTTGGTGTAAGTCTCCTGTTAGTTTTTTTACTATAGATTTTTCCATTTAAATTGGCTCAATTAACTTAAAAACGCAAGAATGAGAGTTACTGACAGCTCGAGTAACACTAACATAGCCAATCAAAGATTTGAAAAGAGTAATGACCGCAAGTAAACAAAAAACACACTAACTTTGTTGAAAAAAAAATGGATACACTTTAAGCTCTTTAAAAACTATTTATTGAAGTTAGTGATTTTTGTTGAAGAGCTAATTATTAAACTTATAAAGTATAAAGTGATAATTATTGAAGTGCTATTTACTGAACTCAAAAAGTGCATATATACCTAAGTGCATCAATTGAAAAATTTCATCTAACGATTTTCAAACTAAAAAATAAATGGCCTTAAAGCTCTTTGAGTTTCAAAAAAAATGATTGCCACTTTTTTGACAAAATTCACTCAATTTGATAAACCTATATCAATAGATAAAGTTTACCTCTAAAAATTAGGAACCGCTTTCAAAATTTAGAAGTCGACTACGTTGTTCGCACCATTGCTGCTTTTCTTATCTGAGAGCGCAAATTATCCAACAGATTAAATTGACTTGAACTCAAAAATTGCATAGATACCTAATTGCAATCAGGAATGCATTACTATGTATGAATGCACTTCTGTACTTACTGGAGCATTTAAGACGTTTTCCTGAAAAAAAAAAACCATCAATACCTATATAAGGAAGGTCCGGCCATGGCTCGAACCCTATAACTTAGGGTGCAACGGTGACAACGTTACCTCTAGGGCTAAGTGCGAAGGAACCTAGATGGTGTAAAGATTCAATAATAAAGCAAATTGGAAAGTTTTAGGAAAAACTGTTTATGGGAAAGTTGTCAGAAAAACTGTTTATTTTAGTTCCCGGTTACAAGACACTTGCTCTCGCAAGTGTAATAATGTACCGTTGTCGACACTAGCATGATTCAACCCTAAAAGATTTTATTGAGCTAAAAAAAGACCAGTTATATATTAACTATGTTCGCTTTTGCGTGAGGTTCGAAGGCGGAGCCTGTTGAAAATTTCTCTGGGCGTGACTTGCTTCAGTTAGTTGCATCAAAAAGAAACTCAACTCAATTTCAAATTGAAATTCTAATTTCTACTAAAATAATACTTCTATCGGTTAGTTTAACTCTTTTCATTCAAACTATTCTCTTTGTGATCTCTGCTAGCAAATTCTGTCCTCAATCTTCTCCTTTTAGGCCCTTGATTTTCAGGAATTGTGTCTGAATTTTTCATGTCTTGTTCCCTCAGTTGTTCTATGGACATAAGTCGGTCGTAATCGATCTCTCTGAAGCGACTACTGCGGTTTTGTGCGACTGATGAAGCACTAAAACAATAGAATAACTTCCAAATTATATCAAAACAAATGAAAAAACACATTTTGGATTTCCGGTTAATAACTCGCTAAGAACACCTGAAAAATTGGTAGAAATGTTTGCAATTATGACCTTTGTTATACATTATCCACTGGACTCATCGCTATCGCTGTCTTTTTTTTGCTCTGGTTTTGACCGATAATGATGGATTTAATTATTAAACTTAACACCCCCTACCGACCCTTGCTGAAAACGATGCCCATTTCGAGTTTCAAGGAAAAAAACTGTTTCTACTTTAATTTCACTTCGCTTTTTCACACGAACTTCAAAATGGATTGCATTTATCGTACTTGTTGTGGCCTCCCATGGTTCGACCATGAAACTTCATTATCAAAATCGATCTAATCAGGGCATAGACAAGTACAACAGCGAACAACACCACAATTAAAACTTGGTTGCCCTTCCTTATATCGTCTTTGCTTCTTAGGTTATTCTGTCTTTGGTGATTTTCAGTTCTCTGAGACGCTTCTTGCCACTTCCTGAAGAAAAGAGGAAAACAAAAATAAATGAAGGTCAACTTACATTGTGAAGAGAAAGAGGAAGCAAGCTGTTATGAGGTACCATGCCGTAATTTCCTGTTACGAAATGATACAATAGGTTAATAGGTAACCACAAAAAAAAATCTTTTTTTCTAATTTTATTATTATTATTATGATTTATCATTTCTAATTGTTTTTTTTTAGCTAATTATGTATAACATCATAACAAAAATTCATTTTTCCAACAAAAAAACAGTGAAAACCCCATACTTAATAACTTTTCTGCATTCAAGAAGGCATAAATGAGCTTCAGATACCTTTAAAATATTTATCTCCGTTCAGTTTTTTCTACTCGAACTAATGCATTTCTCGTTCCAACTAACAAATGGGGTTCGGCCCTCTTTTGAAAATTAACAATTTTATTTTGCTAATTATCTGGTCATATTAGGTAAAACATGCATTCAGACTAGTCTGATTCCAATTACAACACATATTGTATCATATCGTTTTCCCTTATTTTGCTGTCTCAATTTAGATTCCCGAGATTGATTCGAACTCGTGTTCTCTCGATATCTGCCGTAATTTTTGTAGAAGTTATTTCTGAACTCGTTTTCGCGAGCAGTTCTGTTGTGGTATGTTTTCGGGTTAAACTCTTCGTATAATTTCCTAAACATAAAAAAAACGAACCTTGTTTCATACAATCAAAAAGATGCTAATTTTATTTCATCAGTTAATTCTCGGTAACTAAAATGAGACAGCAAAGTAACTACAAATAAGCTATTACACAAGATTGAAATTTCTCAACTCTCGAGCTTGAAGCAAATATACAAAAAAAACTTCATCGTTTCTAAGTAAAAAAAAAATCTATTTTCGACGGAAATTGACCACAAAAAGCCTCTTTAAGCGCACGTTACACCTTTAAAACTACTCTTGATTAGCGCAAGCAGAGAATTTTTAGATATTTTGGAACCACTTGAAAATATTAGCCTGGTTATCAATTACATAAATATTTACCATTCTTTTTTTCCTGTCGATGTATTATAGCTTTCATAGTACGCTTTCGAAGCACCTCCAGAATAACTTCCATATGGCGAAGAGTGAAATTGAGACGACCGGTTGAATCCCATCAAAATATCGTACTGATTTCTGCTGTCAGACGATTTTAAGGTCGAATAAGCTTCGTTGAGTTTGACGAATTCAGTGTGCGATTTTCTGCTTGGATTTCGATCAGGATGTAACTAAAAACAAAAAGGTTTCGTATCACTCAGCTTCAAAAAAACTTTTTGTGCAATAACAGCCATTGGTAGGCTTAATTATGAGTAACAATGAGCATGCTTTATAGGTTGCAACTAACTAATATAGGCTGAATTAACAGCTGAACTAAATCATCAAGTTTTAAAAAAATTCTAACAAAACGGAAAATAATTCGAGAAAAAATTACAAAAAGAGACCTTTTTAGAAGAACCTGAATCACGACTGAAGAGGCTTTAAAATGACACTATTTTAGATGCTCTACGCGCAATCTTTGATACACCTGAAATGGTCGGCAGCAAATCATCCAAAGCCATTTCAGATCTACGAAACATCTACGAAATATCCCATCTATGAAAACTCACATCTACGAAATATTAAGAAAAATTGCACAAATTATCGCATTCATACAGGCTCCACTAGTCTACCGATTAATTCAAACCAACCTCGTAACTCTTTTTTCTTAAGCACGGAATCATTTTTGACAGCGGTTCATTGTCAAACCAAAGACTATAAGGGGTGTCAGGAATTAATTAGATCAATTATCCAGTTTCAATTATCAAGTTTTTAATGCTCCAGTTTTCAACTTGAAAGAGGAAGAATTTCATCTCTCCATAATTTTACTCCAGGGTTAAATTTTTATTTTACCGGTCTGTCTGTAAACGGTGGTCAAGAATTAAAAAAATAACACGAAGCGGAAGTAATGAAGAACTACCCTTTCACATATTAGAGCAAGAGTCATGTGAAATAGCCACCAGGTAAAAGTAAAACTTAATTTTAAAATATTGCAAACAAAGCTAGCTTTCATTTCTCCCGGCAACACAAAGCTTAAGCCAACCTCTTTGCTTCTAGACAGAAAAGCTCGTTTGATGTCATCAGTAGTCGCATCTTTGTTCACTCCCAAAACTGCGTACAAGTTCTGCTTGGATTTGAACCTAAAATGACAGGATAAAAACATGGTTTTGCAGCTGAGCATAAAAAGCCATCCTAGTAGTAAAGTTAAAAGAAAAGCGCTTTTGAAATAAAAAACAACATTTATAGACGACGGAAAAATTTGCAGCAGGCATGCATTATTGTACAAAATTACCTTAATGAGTTAGGACCGAGGTGGTTAACTCATAGAGTAATTTCGGATAGGGTACACCGTCTGCTCGTCACGCTATCTTATTTTCGGCCGGATAGATTCGTGCAACTTCTTAGTCTAATACCGATCCTAATCTTACTCTTATACTATCTAGTCTCAGGTTGTTTAACTAGTCTCTGCTAGGCTCAATAGATCTAGGGTATACTGGTTTATTGCGGCTGCTTTAGTCTTCTTGGAGAGTCCAACTAATTTCTAAGTTAAATTCAAATCTCTCTGGTGCTGAAATTACAAGTAATTTCAGCACTTACAAATAAGTGGGTTGTTAGTTTGATGGATCATGATTGGTTAATATTAAATACTTTACAGTGGTAAAATATCTAATTTATCCAATCATAAAATGTAGTTTAGATCAGGTTCCACCCATCCGGGTTTTACAGAGTTTTTTAGAATAGTCTTTCTGCAATTCAAAGGATGGATGATGGACGTTGGTATTTGGCGAACATCATATTTCTTCTGGGTTCTCTTGTTAGAGGAGTTCCAGGTTCAATCGTTGTGTCTTCTCATGACAACGACTGGGTTTTCGCAACAAACTCAAATCTGATTTCGGAATGGTTTGTTATGACAGGTTTTTCCGTTTCATGTAGAGAACTTCTTTTGTGTTTGACCTTGTCTGGGAATGGCGTGGAGATTGTGCGTGGAGGGGATGCCTGGTTACTCGGATCTGTACGTATACTTGAACATCGAGGTGGTCATTGGTCTAGTTCAACGAAGTCCTTTTCTGCGAAGTCAAGTCGTACTCTAAATCCTTTGAGTTGTGATTGTGGGCGGCATATTGATTGTGGTTTGCCATTCTTTTTCGAGTGTAGTGGGGTCATTTGTCTTTGGATGTTCGTCTTTGGTGTTGTATGCTGATCTATATACTGCAAGGTATAATTTACATTTTATAAAAGTTTTATTAGTTTGGTGTTTTAATTATGATTTTGGTTAGTTGTTTTCACAAAAGCTTTTTGTTTTAGTTTGGTTATTTTGAAGAGTTACTCACCCTTGAGTACCTCTTATTAAAAATAGGAGTGTGGTCACAAAGCGTGGATGTAGCGCGGTGGGTTAGGCCGGCTATAGAGCATGCTCAGGACGTCCTCTCTGGTGGGTTAGGCCAGGAGTGGGAGTATGATTTCGTGCGGTTTTTGTGAGAGGTCCTGTTATGTGATAACGTTTTATGTTGGGTTTATTGTGGTTTTTCTTATGTTTCGTTGGTTGTGTCCTTTTTTCAAAAATCAAATTGTTTTTGGTATGGGTTTGTCTTTCGACTTTTTTGTGTTTTATTATTTCTTTCTTAGACTTTATAATAGTCCTCAAAAGAATAAATTATCCAGTTTTAAACTGGGTTAATCCGGTTTGGGTACGGTTGGTTTCCTTTTCTTAGTCATGCTGTTATTCTATGATCTGTGGTGTTTAGTAAGCTGCATTGGTTAGTTTTGTTTAGTATATAATTCCTTTCCAACCGGGTTAAAGGAAAGTTTGAAACTTGTTATCGTGTGTTAGAGTTGTTGAGTGTGAAAACTTGAAACTGAAATTCATTATTTAAACAATTCTTCGTGGGCGAGCTATGCGAGTTTGGATAGAATTCTTGTGCGAGTGAATGAAATATCAAAAAGTTAGTACTGCAGTTTCGTTTTATTAATTTACTACATAGAATTCAATTTTACTGCTAGTTTTGGGGAAAAATTAAGTTACAAATTTTCATCATTATTAGATTTACTGCTTGTGGGGAAACAATTTATAAATTAATTTACTACATTGGTATGAATTTTATTTAATTTGTGCAAAATATTAATAGAGTTTTGAACAATTTGAAGAAGTTTTCTATTTTTGATTTTTCTTTTGTGTATTTTGCAGATGATCGTGGGATGAAGACTAAAAATCTAAATAAGACATGGATAAAGAATGGTTAGTGTTTTGTTTTAAATTTATTAATTTTGAATATATATAAATTATACTTACCTGTTAGTCGTCGGGGAAAAAACCGTGGGGGAAGATGTCGTGGATTATGTCTGAATTTGTTAGTAATTTTGCTAGTATGCGAATGATGTTTTTAGTTTGAAGCAGTGGCCAAAGCAATTGAAGTGCTTTAATGGTTTTTAGTTCTTCAGTGCCAACTGCAAACTCATAAGGTGTGTTTTGGATGAGATTATATAATTTGTGGTTATATTTAGTGTTGTGGATGAATTCTAATATGGGGATTTCTATAGGTTGAACAAATTCATGTGGGATAAGGAAGGGTCTGGATTCTTCTGCGTTGAAGGTCTTTGTGATGGGACAAAAAATATACATTTGGGTTATGGGATCATAATTGCGAAGAATACCGTGAAGGTTAGTATCTTTGATGCAATATGTGAAGTTAAGAAAAAATGGTGATGTGTATTTAGAGTTAATAAATTGAAAACGGTGGTGTGGTTGTCTTGATGGAGTGTGTATATCAAAATGATTTTGTATAAAGCGATAATATGTATATGTGTGAGTCTGTTTAGTGCGTAACATAATGTCGTGTGAGCAGTGCAAATCGCGTTCTTGTGGTGCAAGGAAATGAAAGGTTAGTGAAAATAATGGAAATTTTTCTTTAAAACTCTCGTAAGCTTGTGTGTCGGTTAGTGCTTCTGAAATGATGTGGTCAAATTTGCGATCAAATATATTGAGTGTAAATACATATGGTGTTTTAATGAAGAATTTTTCTGTGATTTGTGGGTTAGCGAAGCGATCATCATCTAAAAATTGGTCTTGGTTAGTTCGGATGATGTTATGATCGTAATATTCTAGCGTATATTCGTTAGCTCGGGGTGCAGTGTATGTTTTTAGTGACTTTTTATATCCTATATAAGTAAATTGTCTATGTGTTAGTGGTGTAGTGAGTCGATATAGCATATTTTGATGTCTTTCAATATCGATGTGAGTATTAGATAAAGGTAGGCAAAGTGGGTTAGTAAAATGATAATATGATGTCCAATGGAGTGTAGGCATTAAAACGTGTTCGTCTACAAAATTACGCGTTTCGTTAGTGTCGTTAGGGGTGTTTAAAGTATATTGTGGAAATGAAGGTAAGGTGATTAACAAAAATTCTCTCGTGTTAGTGTGATTTGGGTGATTAATATATTCACGGGCTGTTCCTGGTTTTGTTGGAAATGGATGGTTTGGGAATTTTCTTTTGAAAGTGCGGTAAGCTCTATTAGTGCTAATTGATGATTTGGTGGATGTGGATGATGGTACTAATGATGCGGTATAAGCTGAAGAGGGTGTGGGGGTAGGTGGGTTTGATGATTCTATGGTTGATGAAATCTGGTTTATAGTTGAGGTGTCAAGGTGGAAGGGTTGTTGTTGTAAGGTGATAAAATTATCTAGTTCTTGGGAGATTTGAGGGGTGTCTGGAGAATTGGATGATCGGTCTGAATGAAGTGAAGAGTAGGTTGGGGTAACTTGTGAAGCATAGGAGGGTGTAGAAATGGATGGGAGTGGGTTATTTGGTGGGATTGGTTGAAAAGGGGGTTTCGAAAAAACTGAGGGATTGATTTGAAAATCATTGGACGGAGATGGTTCAGAGTCTGCAAATTCATCAGGGGTTTCAATATCTGGGTTATTGAGTTCTGAGATGGAGTATAAAACTGAGATGTGTGAATTAGTGTCTGAATTCATGCCTGATGTTATAGTATTGGTTGGAAAATCGGATGGCGGGAAAGCAAAAAGTGGAATTATTGTAATTGGAGTGTTGAGGTTGGTTGGGTGGGAATTTGAGCGGTGTAGGGATCCAAGTTGTCGGCTCATCGTGGGCTAAAAAAATTATTATTTTGAGACTGAAAAGCGGTGGTATGTGGTTGTTCTATAATTTGTTCATATGTATTTTCATCTAGTGAATTGTGTGTTACTATAGGTTGAATGGGGCTTTGTGATATGGTTGGTCTGAAGTTTGGATTATGTGTTACTGCTAAATTTCGAAAATTTCGTGGGACTAGTGATAATGGATGGTTATGTGGTAGGGGTGGTAACTGTGGTGCTGTAGGTGTAATGTCTACATTGTTATGTTCTTCGTCATATGTGTTCTGTCTTGTTGCTATTTTTGTGTTGTATTCTTTTATTTGTGCGTCTAAAAGAATTTTGTTTATTGATGATGAAAAAATTCCAAAAAATCCTGCAAATAGGATGCGTGCTACACTTGCTTGTCTATTTACTTGTGTGTGTATAGCGCATGTATTATAGATTCCTTTTAGGAGTGAGAAAAGAGCATCGTTTATCTTCAAAAACATATAGTGGTGATACTTTTTTGGTACAGGTATAAAACCATAAAATGTTTCCTTCATAGTCTAAAAAATTTGATCTATTGCCTGATAATAAATATCCTGCGTAGGGTATTTTTAATACTGCTAATGCAAGTGATTGTAGGATTCTAATTCGGAGAGTGACATTTCTTGAAAAATGCGGCTAATTGTGTAGTCTAATTTCATATCTAGGTGAATATCATAGTGGATATTACCGAAATATGTACTATTCATTAGTGATAGTTCTTGTAAACGTGTGCTTCTAGTGTCATGGGGCTTGAGATGTCCACCAGGTTGACCTTTACTTTTTTTGAAAATTAACTGGTATATATGATGTTCCTTCGTTTGGAGGATGACCTGTGGCATATGGGTCGATTTTTATTTTTCCAGTGGTCATGTCGAATCCTTTTTCGTATTCAACTAATATTTCAGAGTATTGTGTTTTGTGAAGTGGGTTTCTGTATTTACATGCAAGTTCTGTTTCTTGATATATTTGAAAACGTGTCAATTTATTTTCTATATTGTGTATGTTCCTAAAATTAGAGTT